TATGAAGGTCACTCTCACTCTTATGAAATGGATTGATTATTCAGTTATTGAATGATGAGATTTGTATATTTTATCTAACGTGATAATACTATGTTAATAATGAACTGGTATTAGAGAGATTTCCTCATGAATTTGAAGCATAACTTATGATTATGCGCATAGCTATGAATGCAAAAATATGATCTTATACATATAAAAAGTATATTTCATGAATCAATGGTTTATAACTTATAATCATGGGTGATTTATAAGTATGCTATAAATGCATTCTGAAATCTCTCTAATGATGATATTTTATTATTCTGAAAGTCATATATTTTGCTGAGCTTATGAATTGCTTTTGTACACCGTTTGGATGGATCAACACACTCTGTGCACAGTCAGCACTATCAATGGTATACTTTACCTTTAGTAATAGAAGAGAGAAGTTCAAAAGCTGTTTGTCACGATATTTACCGATCCATCCACTCTCTCCAATACGCATGCGCAGCCCGATGTAAAAAATAAGGCAGTGACTGGAGAGCCTAAAATTTTAGGCTCTTTAGCATTTTGGTAACCCATTTGGCTAAAGAGCCTTACATTTTAAGGTTCTTTGGCATTTCGGCTAGAAAGCCTTAAATAGGGTCTTTAGCATTTTGATTGCCAATTTTGCTAGAGAGCCAGCCTTAAAGGAATTCTAAGTGACGGAAATGACAAAATATTGCTTCTGCGACGAGATCAAACGATTTTGACATATTTTTACTCAACCTGTTTTGTAATTTAACAATCAACACAAATTAACATACTATATTTAAGCAGATACCGGAGATATTCATAAAAATATATTTTTTGATCGATAAACTCACCGATTATTAAACCGGAAGTGTCTTCTCTGAGGTCCGCGAAGAAAACGAAGAAGGAAACATACAACGATTTTATTCATTTCACTTTTGCAGTGGATTTGATTTTAAATGCTTCTAAATGATCCTTGAATGCTTACTTTGACTTCCTATAAGAACTGTTTTGACTTCCCCACTTCATAAAAAGAACATTATCACTTTTTACTCGACTCGTAAATTTACTTCCGGTCTACCGAAAAAAAGTTCTTAGAACCTTTTCAATCCTCAGTCTAAATTTGGCTTTTTAAAGGTTCAGTAACCTTCGTGGTGCGGCAACTTGGAGCAGTCATATACTTGTTCAATTTTACTAATCAGTAAAGATTTTGATGTTTAGAATAGGCCCTTGGGAGAATGGTGTTGAGGTCACATTTAGTGATGCCCAATTGGAGGCTAGCCTAAAAAAACGTTGATACAAATGAAGGACTTTTGAAGGGGAAGTTTTTGCAAAAAATTGAAAAAATATTTTGTGCCTCTTGTCATTTGAAAATCCTAAAAATCGGCATGGGAATCTAATAGGCAATAGATTTGGAAGTGTATTCTCTGATGTCCCCGGGCTGATGTCCCTACATTCCCGATTAACTGCATCATGATGTGCTGTATCTAGAATTCAACAAGATCATTTTCTTCATCCCAAAGTCTCCTTCATACTTTTTGCCACTTTCAAATGGGATTCCCCGTATTCTGTAAGCTTGTGAATATAGTAAAGCCAATACAAGTGGTTAATTTCATTAAACATGGATGGTTGAGCGTTGGAGCGAGCCCATGAATTTTTAAAAAATTGTGTACATAATATCCGGACCTCAGAGAACAAACTTCATAATGAAAAAAATTGTACCAACATGGAATCGAACCTGCGCCGTGGGAGTATTAGGCGAACGCCATAACCACAAAACTAGAGTGTGTTTTCTTTTTGTAAAATCTATATTTCAATAATAAAACATATGTAAATAATATAATTATACATAGACCCAGTAACATTGTTTAATTTCTGTACAGTTTTTCATTTTCAAAATATGCATGTATACTTCCAGTTTTGTCTCTATTGAAAATTTGTATTTCCCTCCTGGTTATTAAAACTTCTTTATAATTCTTATACTTATTTATTCCTATAATTTGTTCAAAAGTGATATTATCAAAAAATTCCATATATCCCTTATTTTTGTACACTCATAAAAATTATGTTTAACATTGTCAATTACATTACAATTTTAAAAAGAAATATCTCTAATTCTAAAACCATTTAAAATCTCATTACATGGATATACGTTGTGTAATGTTTTCCAATGAATAATTAAGAGTTTGGTATCTACTTTGCACTTAAATGCTCTAATCCAAGTTGCACATGAAATATCCTTACCATTATACTGTAGAAACAATTTTCTTTTATCTGTACATATAATCCAAAATCTGATGCTTCATAACATATTATCTCTATACCATTTAAATATACTAGAGTGGCTTGTACATACATTACCTTTAAGGCTCTTTGGCCGAAGTGCTTAAGAACCTTAAAATGTAGGCTCTCCAGTCACTGCCTTATTTTTAACATCGCTGCACATGCGTATTGGAGGGAGTGGAGGGATCGAGTGTGAGTTTGGACCAACTTTTGCAAGTTTGACCAGGAAATCACCTTTCATTTGGTATGTTAGTAACTTTTTTGATCGTATTGGTATGTAAGAATCATATATATGTCGAAATATAAGCATAAATGTCACAGTTTGAAGGATAAATGTCAGATTATTTACCGGAAGTGTTTATATTTCCAAAGAGCTTTCGGACTTTTCTCTTCTATTACTAAAGGTAGATTGATGGTGATGACTTTGACTCTGTGCTATACAGTAAACTAGACAGTTTCAAAACAATTTACTACTCATTGATACACTCTCAATTAAATTATTGCAACATAATCTGGGGTAACACATTTAAATCATTTTATGATCGTCTACATAAACTGCAGAAACAATTCTTAAGGCTAGCTTTAAATAAGGATAGACTTTCTCACTCCGCTCCCCTATTTAAAGATCTTAGAATATTAAATATTTTTGATGTCAACAGATATTGTACTGGTCAGTTCATGTACAAAATCTTTAATAAGCACCCCAGTCTTCCAAAAAATCTATTTCAAGACTTGTTTGATATCAACATTAATATTCATCACCATTACACAAGACAATTCAATTATTTTCATATCCCTAAATGCTCTAAACTTTCCCTTCGCTATCTGGGTCCTAATCTTTTGAATGCTCTACCACATGATATTAAAAAATGCTCCACTCTAAATATTTTCAAATCTTCATATAAAAAACTACTCATCTATCGATAATGTATAATACCAATATCATACTATACTGTTAATTTTATACTGGTACCCGATTTTTGTAACATTTTTACATTGTACATCCTTAGATTAATTGTTAATACCATTTTTATATACCTACATGTAACATAATATAAGTGTTTTCTTTTATATGTAGTCTAGTTGTCATTTTAATGATTTCTGTTAAACCGCAACATATACCCACTAGGGTGTCTAGCGGCTTGTTTTTATAGTGTATATTATATAAGAATTATGAAATAAATAATTGAATTGAATTGAATTGAGTACCGAATGGATGAGTTTGTATTTGTTCAGATTTTGAATAATGCTATTTTTGTTCCATATTTTTGTAAACGGACATGCATGTATTATGATTATCTATACTTAAGAATGCTGAGACTGCTCAAGTTGTTAGATAATCATTGGCAGTATAATAATGAGATTTGTTTGGTATTTTGAGTAGTATTACTACTTTACTCAGATACATGTCAGCATCAAATTTTTACCGTTTTTAAGATATTTGACGTCAAAAAACAGTAAAAATAAGATATTTTTCAACTTGCTTCAATTTGACCAAATTTTTTTTGAAAATCATTTACAAGTTACCGGGAGTTCAAATCTGACATTAGTTTTAGGATTTGACCTTTACTTGACCTTCAGTGCCCTTTGAAAGGTCAAAAAAGTTGATTTTTCAAATTGATTTTTGGATGTAAAGGACGGTTCTTGGTTTGGAGAACAGTCTCCTGGGCTAATAATTTTTTTCATGAAAAATATAGAAATATTACCCAAATTAAATTATGAATATTCAAAAGAGAACATTTAAATCTACAAGATGTAAAAATAACATAATGGTCTGAAGCAGGGATAACGCTAAATTAGAACGATTCAATAAAATACAAGTCTCGATTTGGGGAAAGAAGTTCATCAGTGTACTGCGCTTATATTTTTTTGCAAAAAATCTAGAAATATTACCCAAATTAAATTATGACTATTGAAAAGAAAACATTCAAATCTATATTATGTAAAAAAATTCAAATATGACCCAAGCAGGGATAATGCTCATTTAGATTGATGAACTTCGTTCTCCAAACCGAGAATCGTCCTTTTGGTCAGCTTAATCACATAAGACCTTACTGAGCTCTAAATAAGTAAAATTTTCAAAGTCAAAGGTCATCAAACTAGGTCACACAACTGTGCTGTCTAAGTTTCTTAAAGATCGAGACTACAAATCCAAATCAATATTTTTGTTGTTTGAAAGTCAGGATATACATTCCTCTGAAGGTTCCAAACTGTGTGAGCACAGGACCGTGGGTCTTATTTTTTCAACAAACCCGGTATTTGTGCATTCAAATATAGTTTTTTTTATTGAATTCGCTTCTGATTTCGGTCATCAAACTAGGTCACACAACTGTGCTGTCTAAGTTTCTTAAAGATCGAGACTACAAATCCAAATCAATATTTTTGTTGTTTGAAAGTCAGGATATACATTCCTCTGAAGGTTCCAAACTGTGTGAGCACAGGACCGTGGGTCTTATTTTTTCTACAAACCCGGTATTTGTGCATTCAAATATAGTTTTTTTTATTGAATTCGCTTCTGATTTCGGAATTTACAGATCTGATATGTATTGACTATACTAAACTTTTAGTAGGTTTTCTTGAATAATGTATGTGGAAATTGATGTGTGTATATCCTGCCACCCCTGCAAAATAATGGACTTGCCCACTTGGTCTCTTGGATCCACTTGTAAAATATGTATAACCAACAAATTGTTCTCCAGAAGGTTGAGATATTTTTTATGTCATAGGCTCGATCCAGTAGCTCCCTTGGTCGGGGGAAAGGTCGGGCAAAGATTCTCCAACAGGTACCTTCTGAGGTGAGTATAGTACCATTTAAACTCTATTGCTGACATTCTAATAAAAATGGCAGTTTGGGAAGACAAGTCTTGTCTTCCAAAAGTACCAAAAGTACTGGAAATGCAAGGTCAGTTTTCTTTATTAGAATTATGTGGATACTCAGTTGCTCTATTAGGAGAGTTCAAATTTTTCCCAATTTAAACCTAGTTATCTAAATAAAATTTGGCTTTGTATAAAAAACCTCCTACCTCGCATCCACCTACCCATGTACATGGGACATGATACAGTCTTTGAAGGGTTCAATTTTAAAGATTATTAAATCTTAGTTTATGTTGAATAATAGATGAATATTATTAAGATGAGTATTAATGCACCCATGTGCCTTTATTTATGGAACTGTCTAGTCAAAAAATAAAGCCGGAATTGCAAAAATGTCAAAGGAATCCTGGGAGATACAAGTGACAAAATATTGGCTCTGGGACGAGATCAAACAACTTTAACATATTCTTTACCCTACCTATTTTGCGATTTAATGCATTACCATATTTAAGCAGATATCTGACAAATTCATAAAAATATTTTTTGATTGATAAAATCATCGATTATAAAACCGGAAATGTGTTCTGTGACGTCCGTGTGTGAATATTTCAATTATTCAGATTTTGCTGTGGATTCAATTTTAAATGCTTCTAAATGATCTTCTTATGCTTACTATGATTTCTGTTAGTATTTGTTTTGACTTCCCCGTTTCATAAAAAGAACGTTATCTGACTCGACTGGAAAATTCACTTCCTGTCTATCGTAATAAAGATGAGCTGAAAGTTGTCATATACAACTTTCAATCCTCAGTCTTAATATAGTTTTTCAAGGTTAAATAGGCAACTTTGAATGCCCCTTCATGCATAGTTCGAAAATAGAATCATCAGAGAAGGTTTTAAACCATGAATTCGACTCTAAAGCCTGAAAAAAAGTTTGAACCATTTTATCAGCTGTAAATTACAGTGTGCCTTTAATTTCATGAATTTGAGCTATTTTGTTTTCAGGTCTGCTTTTGATTTTTTTGTTGATCAGGCAGTCTTACAACACATTAATTGAGCAGTTGTGCCGTTACTATCGATCCTATAAATACGATAGATCCAATAAAGGCAGAGGGCACAGGTGCATCAATGCATATTCTATAATTGAGCATAAAGTGAGAATGAATAATCTTAAAAAAAAATTTAAATTGCTCCCTTCAAAGGCTGTTTCAAGACCCACTTACTTGGGTACCAGGTTTTTTATACAAAGCCAGATTGCCCGATCAACAAAAATCATTTCGAGAAATCAAAAGCAGACGTGAAATCAAAATAGCTCAAATTATTAACATTTCTGCAATTCCGGCTTTATTTTATGACTAGACAGATGACAGATCCATAAATAAAGGGATATAGATGCAGTTAATTCATCTATAATTCATTTAATAATCTTTAAAATTGAACCCTTCAAAGACTGTATCATGTCCCACAAACATGGTTAGGTGGGTACGAGGTAGGAGGTTTTTTATACAAAGCTATAAAGTTTAGTTTAGTTTTAATGTTATTTATAATGGTCATTTACCAGTAAAAGAAAATCATAAAACAATACATTACCCAACCTCAACCACTTTAGTTGAACAAAATATACTTTGACATAAATATAAGTAAAGGGTCCTAAGTAACTTCCACAGTAAAAATGTTCAATGTTGGGTCATATCTATGTTTGCTTGTCATAATTTGCCATTTATTTGGCTATTGTGTTTCTTGTATTCCAGGATGCATATCCAGGGTCCCACCCAGGGTCACATCGAGGTTCCCACCCAGGGTCACATCCAGGATCAGTGCACAGTGGAGGAAAGCTAAGTTATAGTAGCAATGAAAGACTTAGTAAAGGTGACATTGGGCCTGATGATTTTGAATCTGTAGACACTGACAGCACCCATGACTCTCTGAAGAGATACAAGTACAGACCTGCTTATCAAAGTGGACAGAAGATTGCACTAGACAATAATGAGACAGCTTACATGAAACCGACTAGTATCTTAAACCCATCAAGACCATTTAAAGGTATCCTATATCTGTGCATTAATGTTATAGTATGAGTCTATCTCCTTCCAAATATTGAACACTTTTCTTTCACTTATAACTAACACTAATATAACCTCTAGATTACAATTTAAAACTGAGGTGGGCCATCCTATGATTATCTTTTCTTCATCCTATAGTGATTCTTGTTTCTGACATTGTATTTGAAATAATATTATTACACTCTGGTTTCATATATTAATAAACATAAATAAGACATTCATTTTCCACTGCTGTCAAAATGATCATTTTCTCAAGATAGAGTGTATCACACAAAGCCCCGTTTATACTAAGTGGTCTTTTTCACAGGCTTTTTAAGTCCTCTAGAGACCTGTGATGACAGTCTCTTTTCACGATACCCGATGTGTCCTCCTGAGACCTGTGGAGTCTGATGGAGTCCGATCAAGACCATTGGAGTCCTGTCAAGTCTGATGAAATCCCCTTGGATCATGCAATGTCATTCATTTTTATCGCACTTTGAAAAAGTGCTATATTGTGGTCGTCTTGTGCTGTTGGGCGGGCGGGCGTGCAGGCGTGCGGGCGGGCGGCACATAAACCAAATCTTGTCATCAAATTTCCAGGATAACTGCTTACCTGTTCAACTTGAAATTTTTACAGATGCAAGAGCAGACTAGTACCAAGATCTGATTAGGTTAAGGGCATGCTGGGTAAACTACATGGCGGCCATTTTGAATTTTTCAACAAATCTTGTCATCAAAATTCAAGGAAAACCACTTATCCGTTCAACTTGAAATTTTTACAGATGCAAGAGCAGACTATTGCCAAGATCTGATTAGGTTTTGGGTATGCTGGCTGAATTACATGGTGGCCATTTTGAATTTTTCAATTTGGCGGCCATTTTGAATTTTTCAACTTGCTCCAAATTGACCAAATTCTTTTTTTAAAAACATCTACAAGTTCTCAGAAGTTCAAATCTGACCTTAGATTTCAGATTTGACCTTTCATTCACCTTCAGTGACCTTGAAAAGGTCAAAAAAGTTGATTTTCTAAATTGATATTTTGGATTTAAATTTAGGTCAGCTTAATTACAAAAGACCTACTGAGGTCTGAAAAAGTGAAATTTTCAAGGTCGAAGGTCATCAAATTAGGTCACAAACAATGTTATCTAAAGGACGATTCTCGGTTTGGAGAACGAAGTTCATCAATCTATATGAGCATTATCCCTGCTTCGGACAAATTTGATTTTTTTTACATAACATAGATTTGAATGTCTTCTTTTGAATAGTCATAATTTAATTTGGGTAATATTTCTAGATTTTTCGCAAAAAAATATTCGCGCAGTACACTGATGAACTTCTTTCCCCAAATCGAGATTTGTAATTTATTGAATCGGTCAAATTGAGCGTTATCCCTGCTTCAGACCAATTTGTTATTTTTACATCTTGTAGATCTAAATGTCCTCTTTTGAATATTCATAGTTTAATTTGGGTAATATTTCTATATTTTTCATGAAGAAAATTATTAGCCCAGGAGACTGTTCTCCAAACCGAGAATCGTCCTTTTCCCAAAGTTCAAGACTACAAATAAATTCTTGTCATCAAAATTGCAGGAAAACCGCTAACCTTGTCAACTTGAAATGTTTACAGATGCAAGAGCAGACTAGTGCCAAGGTCTGATTTGGTTTTGGCCATGCTGGGTAAATTGCATGGTGGCCAGTTTGCTCTTCAAAGTGCGATATTTATCACTGTGTGTCTTGTTTTTTTCTTATAGTTCATTTATTGGTCGTCATTCATAAAGGCCTTTGTAACCATGGAAGTATCACGTGATCATATTTTAACAAAACAGACCGATGAAAACTGGTGAGACTAGAACTGCTCATTCAACAAAAAGCCTCAGCAGTCTTTTGAACAGTTAGATATTTTATGTTTAGAAGTAGTTTGAATAGTCAATGTAATGAAATGATGTGATAAAAATAACCACATATCTACTTACCAGTGTACAAATAGTGACTGTCATTGAGGGCAAAAGTGTAAATTATTTCCCGGGGGAATATCCTCTGAAATATACTATTCCCGATGCGGCAGTCACTATATGATGTCATGATATGCTCAACAGAATTTTTTTCGTCAGGGATTTCTGGATTTTGGAGACTCTCACTTGGAAAATTCAATGTGTTTAACACGGGAAATAAATTATCATAACATTTGAAATTACACAGACATATTGATCTTAAGGAACTTTATCCATCTTGCCAATATTGTATCGTTCACGCACAGCTGTCATGGTGAACAGAGTTGAGTTAGGTCTGTGTGTTTTCTCCATTTTTCTGTTTTTCGTGTGCGCAGTGACAATGCGCAGACGTTTCCTGGGGTAAAAGAAGTTGCAATTGTGACGTCCGGGCGGTAGGGGTCCCACGATTAATTATCTTTAATTTCGATACGAGCAACGATATTTTCCTCACTGTACGATACAAACGATGCAAGCAATGTAAGAGCATAACAAATATTTATATTTTTAAAAAGTATATGGGTAAACGAGACAAATGTAACAACCGCTGAATTTCTAACTTGTGAAACAGTATGAAGCTATGAATGTCTTCCTAAAACTAATGTCCACTAGTGTCCGGTGTCCATCCATGGTTTATATTTTTATTTCACGTTTTTTTCCAAGTTTTTCATTAAAGGAAACTGAATATCCTATATTGGGGGTACATTCTATGCCAGATTACACACGGAAAATACAGGGTGTTCAAAAAAAAACGCAACCCAAAGAAATCGCTATATCTTGGAAAATACTAGTCCAATTGTGTTCATTTTTTCAGGAAGGAAAGAAGAGACTGTGTATGTATAGCTCATGTTGTTAGTTAGTTGTAAAACATGATGTCTTGGACAAATGCTCAAAAGACATTAGTATTGGAAAGATACGAAAAACGCAGTCAGAGACTACTGTCACAGCAATAAAACCAAATAACTTTCTAACCATAGTGTTTTGGCTATTCAAATTTGGCACAAATCATCTTCATTCAATGTATGATAAATCTGTATAGTGAAATCAAAATCACTCCAGGGACTTTACAGTTTTGGTTGAAATGCTTTCAAAACCCAGTCAAACACCCTGGTTCAGCCAGACTTAAGAAGGCATTTTGAACATGACTGTAAAGTCCCTGGAGTGATTTAAATGAAACTCCCCCAATTCACTACACATTATATGAAGATAATTTGTGGTGAATCTGAAGTGCCAAAACACCATGGTTAGAAAGTTAGTAGGGTTTATTGCTCTGGCAGTCACCTCTGGTTGCGTTTTTCATATCTTTCCAATACTAATGTCTTTTGAGAAGGTGTCCAAGGCATCATGTTTTACAACTAACTAACAGCAGGAGCTATACACATATAGTCTCTTCTTTCTTTCCTGAAAAAATGAACACAATTGGATAAGTATTTTCCAAGATATAGCGATTTCTTTGGGTTGCGTTTTTTTTTTAACACCCTGTACTAAAATGGAAAAAACAGGAAGATACAATCTTATTTAAACTGCTTTTGAACATGATTTTGCTGTTTTGGGAGGTTAAAAACGATACAGAATTTTAACCGATATTCAAGTTGAGTATCGATACGCTCGTATCGTGCCTAATTGCTTGAGCAAATCTGAGCAATCGCGAGACCCCTAGTCAGAGGGCAGTAATTCAAATGTCTATTCCCGCTTTTCACATTTGAGGGAATATAACTTTCGGCGGGAAATAGTATATAGTAACATGTTTTATGATATCTCGTCCTAGGTTACATTGTGAAACTCAGCTAAATACGACAGTTTTTGCAACAAAATACTGATATTGTTTTTAGCAGCGTTTGGTGTTTAGTTCGTCCATTTTGCCATTCACATGTCTGATCACGTGTCAAGTCATATGACTCAATGATGTGTCGCTCTAACATGTCTGACAAAGAAAGTTATTAATTTATTAGAAAATGGTTTTCTGAAATCTGCTGCTGAATATAGAATAAAATTTTCCAAGAGAGCGATGTCACATATTATTATCCCAGGGAACGCCTCCGTCCGTCCGTCCGTCCGTCCGTCCGGGCAATAACTCAAATACCGTTGGCTCGATTTTGTTCATATTTTGTACACATATACCCTATGGAGGTAGAAATTCTGCTTAAAAGCCGATTTTCAAAATGGCCGCTCATTTCAAAATGGCGGCCATTTTAGTGACGATTTTACAGTAATTTAGGTGCAATATGTAAAACTGTAATAGCAATATGTTTTAAATGTAAAAAAATTAAAAAGGACATTAATAATGCTACAAATGTAGATATTAAAAAAGCACATGGCAGCCATCTTGAAAAATGGCGGCCTTTACTCGTCATTTTACGATTTTTGCTGTAACTCAAAAAATAGTGGAGCCATTTTGTTCATATTTGGTGTGTGAATACTATAAGCATTGCACACTGTCTAAAGACACTTTTGCTAGAAGGCGGCCATTTTTCAAAATGGCTGCCATTTTAACGTATTTTACATAACTCGAAAAGTAGTGGAGCGATTTTGTTCATACTTGGTATGTGAATACTATAAGCATGGCACACTGTCCTATGACACTTTTGGTAGAAGGCGGCCATTTTGAAAACAATTTTGAAAAATGGCCACCAATTTAACGTATTTTACTATAACTCGAAAAGTAGTAGAGCGATTTTGTTCATATTTGGTTTGTGAATACTATAAGCATGGCACACCGTCTATTTCTAATGACGCTTTTGGTAGAAGGTGGCCATTTTGAAAAATGGCCGCCATTTTAACGTATTTTACTATAACTTGAAAAGTAGTGGAGCGATTTTGTTCATTATTGATATGTGAATACTTTAAGCAATTACACATTGTCTAATAAAACTTTGGGGAGTAGTTGGCCATTTTGAAAAATGGCCACCATTTTTATGTGTGTTATTTTACAAGTACGTGTGCGATTTTTCAAAAATTTTAGAGGTGGCTACTTAAAAGCATATTATTTCTGATGACAACTTGGCTAGTGAGCCACCATTTTGAAAATGGTGGCCTTTCTGGTATGTTGTTTTATGATATTTGCGCTTCGTTTGTAAAAATGCCAGCCATTTCTGTTCGATGGGATTCGCTACGCTTTGGCGTTGCCGTTGTTCTGGTTAAAATCAACTTTACGCTGGAAACTTAAATTCCAAACATTGAAAATCTAAGTGGGGCGGTCTCCACTGGACTCAATCGGATTTTTCAAAAAGACCAATCAAGACTGCCAAAAGTCCTGTGAAGTCCAAAATAAAAATCCTGTATTTTCTTCCATTGGCAATACACAGGGGATGAAAAAAGACCTGTCAGTGTAGACGCGGGGCTTAACAAGGAGTAGATTTTAAAATTGTCAAGATTGGGCCAATATTTTTTTAAACCATTCATGCAAAAAAAGATTACACATTAAATTGTGATTGTGTATGTATATGCACACAATATTACTGCTAAACTGGTTAGAAAAAGTCAACCCTTTAGTCGTCATGGCTCGTCCTTACCACTACCATTCAAAATTTGTCCAATCACTATGTATAGGCTGCAATCTGCTTCATGATATCAGGATTTGGTATTAATGAACAGTTAGATTGTGTATAGCATATACACTGGACCAGAGGCATAAAAATTTGTTATTATCTGTCTCGGACTGAACTTACATGTAGAATACTATTGTGCACAAGAATAAAAGAAAATAATAAATAAATGTATGAATATTAGACAATGAATATTTACCATTGCAGGCTTCACTACCATGGCATTCCACAGAACCCCTGATGTGAAGTGTACCGAGGAGTTTCCGACACTTTCTGGTGCAGTGGGCAAGACTAAACAGACAGTTGACAAGAAACAATGGACTAAGCAACTAAAGGCTGTCAAACCTAATGAGCCTATATTCAATCATTCCAATGAGTTAAACAATCTCACCACACTAAGGAAAACTGAAACCCACAATAGCCAGAACAAGAAAAAATATTTGAATGATGAAGCTAAAAAGCCTAAACTTACACTGGCTAATGCATTTGCAATGCATCTTCCAACTTGTAGATCTCAGGCCACACCTCAGCAAGCATTGAACATCTCACCAGATGTTGTAGTTGAGGAATTATTCTTTGAATCTGAGGGATGCACTGATGAAAGCAACATTAAAGTTATGAATGCTAAATACAGCCAAAATCTTGTAAATACATGCACAAACAAACAATCTCAGGGAAATTCTGTATCTAGTGATATTGAGCATGGGAAATCATCAGTTCCATATTCTGATCAATTTCAAGATGCAGTGGTTGAAAACAATCAGGTGAACCAAAAGATAGACAACCAAAATGATTTAGGGACAAAGACTCATGATGAAGGTGATCCAATCCACACATGTTCTGCTTTGATTCAGTTTGGACCATTAAAAAAGGTGACAGGGCCAAATGTTCTAACGATGGAGAACCTGCCACTAAGTCTTGAACCAATCAACCTGGAAGATACTCTTCTCATGTATGGTGCTGTAGAGCACATCCAATTGTGTCAGCTAGATAACTCAATAACTGCTCAAGTCACGTAAGTAATTTTACCATGTGTCAGTTCTTTGAAAGCCATCAGGTGGATAATAGTACTGTTAAATGTGCACATCTCATGAATGTCACCAGGTATGACCATAGTGAGCGACCATTTTGAAAATGGTTGCAATTCTTATGTGTATTATATTATGATTTTTGCTGTAACTAAAATGCAGTTGAGGGATTTTGTAAAAATGGCAGCCATGACTGTTTGATGGGGTTTGCTACTCTTTGGCATTGCCAAATCTAGTTTCATGATGCCATTATTGCGTTGTAGGCAAACCTGTAAACACCGTCAAATGTCTGTACATGACTAGAGTTCACAAAAAATGATCTCAGGACAATTGAAGACCTCAAAAGTGAGATCATCCGTGTCTTTCAGGTCATACCTGCTGAGGAATGCAGTTGGTTATTATCCCATCGAACGAAGTTCGGAGGGATATAGGGAACGCCTCCGTACGTCCGTCCGTCCGTCCGTCTGTCCGTCCGTCCGTCCGTACGTACGTCCGTCCGTCCGTCCGTCCGTCCGGGCAATAACTCAAATACCGTTGGCCTGATTTTATTCATATTTTGTACACATATACCCTATGGGGGTAGAAGTTCTGCTCGAAAGCCGATTTTTAAAATGGCCGCTCATTTAAAAATGGCGGCCATTTTAGTGCCGATTTTACAGTAATTTAGGTGCAATATGTAAAACTGTAATAGCAATATGTTTTAAATGTAAAAAAATTATATAGGACATTAATTAAGCTAGAAATGTAGATATTAAAAAAGCACATGGCAGCCATCTTGAAAAATGGCGGCCTTTACTCGTTATTTTACGATTTTTGCTGTAACTCGAAAAGTAGTGGAGCGATTTTGTTCATATTTGGTATGTGAATACTATAAGCATGGCACACTGTCTAATGACACTTTTGGTAGAAGGTGGCCATTTTGAAAAATGGCGGACATTTTGAAAAATGGCCGCCATTTTAACTTATTTTACTAAAACTCGAAAAGTAGTGGAGCGATTTTGTTCATATTTGGTATGTGAATACGTATAAGCATGGCACACTGTCTAATGACACTTTTGGTAGAGGGCAGTCATTTTTCAAAATGGCCGCCATTTTAACGTATTTTACTATAACTCGAAAAGTAGTGGAGCGATTTTGTTCATATTCGGTATGTGAATACTGTAAGCATGGCACACTGTCTAATGACACTTTTGGTAGAAGGCGGCCATTTTGAAAAATGGCAGACATTTTGAAAAATGGCTGCCATTTTAACTTATTATACTATAATTCGAAAATTAGTGGAGCGATTTTGTTCATATTTGGTACTTGAATACGTATAAGCATGGCACACTGTCTAATGACACTTTTGGTAGAAGGCGGCCATTTTTCAAAATGGCCGCCATTTTAACGTTTTTTACTATAACTCGAAAAGTAGTGGAGTGATTTTGTTCATATTTGGTATGTGAATACTATAAGCATGGCACACTGTCTAATGAGACTTTTGATAGAAGGCGGCCATTTTTCAAAATGGCCACCATTTTAATGTATTTTACTATAACTCTAAAAGTAGTAGAGCGATTTTGTTCATATTTGGTATGTGAATATTATAAGCATGGCACACTGTCTAATGACACTTTTGGTAGAAGGTGCCCATTTTGAAAAATGTTCGATGGGATTCGCTACGCTTTGGCGTTGCCGTTGTTCTGGTTGAAAATTATAATTGGCCTTAAAAGGGCATTCGTACAAATAAATTCTATTAAATATACCAGAATGTGTATATTGTGTTTTAGGATGGGAGATGCAGACCATGTTATATGGATAAAAGATGGTTTAGATGGGGATGATGTCATATTTGGTGAGTACATACATAGCAGTATTGGCATCCCTTTTCCAGATTTTTATTTTTTTATTTTAATACAATTTTTAACACATTTTAATACAACTTACAATTACAGTTTACAATATATTTCTTTATTCCAGTTACTGTTGGAATAAAACTGCTATGTTAGGGTATTTACCATACTTAAATTTACTTACATTGTATACAGTTTTTTGCAATTAGGAGAATAAGATTTTTGCTCTTGTCTTTGACTCCAAACATAATGTCTCTTATAGAAAATCTTACTGAACTACTGTACTTCTTTTGGCAAATAGACTGAACCAATTTCCAAATTTACTTGTAAGTGTCCAGTTTATCTTTGCAATACTTGCAGTTTTCATTGTCTACCACTTTCATTTTGTATAACAAAATATTTGTAGGATATATTCTGTGCATGATCTTATACTGTAATGACTTAAGTTTAGGTTCTTTAATAGTTTTTTTAGTGGCCGTCTTGCATTCTGGCGGCCATCTTGGAAGTTTTAAGATAAATCTTGTCATCAAGATTTCAGGAAAACCAAACAGATTTACTTCAAATTTCCACACAAGTTACATGGTAAGAAAGTCCAGAGGTGATTAATTTTTCGGCGGCCATCTTGCATTCTGGTGGCCATCTTGGAAGTTTTTGGATAAATCTTGTCATCGTGATTCCAGGAAAACCACTTCACAGATTTACCTCAAATTTTCACACATGTTACATGGTATGAAGTTCTAGAGCTGATTAACTTTTCGGCTGCATTCTGCCCTTATAAAAATTCCAACCTTGAAATTCCGACAACAAATGGTTGCAAACCATTGCACAACCATTGTTCCAACCATCGCTGTAATGGTTGCCAACCATTTGGATGCAACCATAACAATTGTGGTTGCAAATCATTGAAAGTGTTTCAATGATTTGTAACCATTACAAATGGTTGGCATCTTTGAAAGATTTTGTTGCAACCATTGCAACTAAATGCAACCATTTTTACTTTGAGAAAAATCCATAGTTGTGAAGGACTAGATTTAGATGTAAAAGTCACGATTTTAAGTTGCATCTAACATATGATAAACAATAATACCTTGGCTGTTAAAATTGCATTGGGATGAAAAAACAAGACAATTTTGAATATGATAATCTGACTGACATTTATGGTGTCAGAAAAGGCTCAAAATTCAATGTTAGTTTCACATTTGATATATTTCAAATTGTCAAAATATAAAAAATATATATATACAGGGTGTTCAGGAAATAAAGATAATAATGTCATAACTTTTTTATTTGTTCATGGATTGCGTTGAAAGTTTCAGAGATCATAGTTTTAACATATTTTAACTAATTGTTGGGGTTTCAGCTTCAGGAGATTTGATTGGTTGATTCTGTGGTTGTCATAGCAACGCGAGTAGTGCTAAGGCAGGGCAGGTGGAATAACTGCAATATATTTGCATGTTTTAAAAAGAGATTCTATCATGTTTATGACTTAAAATTGATGCTTAAAGATAGTTATAACTATAAGCCTGAAATTCTTTGCCAATTTATCAATTCATTCCACATAATTTCCTTCATTTTAGACACAAACTCTTTGCCTCTTGAACCTTCTTCAAATACTTCACAGAATTCTTCTTGACTCATTTCCTGAAGTCTGTTTAACACATGTGATTGTTTGGCATGAGTGTTCTCAAATGCATGTCCTCTGAAGTCCTATTTTGATTCAGAGAAGAAGTATATATATAAATCATTTGACGCTAGGTTGGGTGAATAAGGTAGATGCTTGAGTTGCACTAATCTCAGCTGCTCAATTTCTTTAGTGATTATGGCAGCAGTATGGGAGGGGGAATTGTCCAAGTGGAAGAGAAATTGCATCCCGGGTCACTTTCTATGTAATGCCTGCATTAAGTCATGAAAGTCCCATTGGATATCATTAAAAAAGCATTTATTTGACTTTTATATCATAAAACAAAGCAATAGCAGGATTTTATCATGGAGATGCCAAGAAAGATTTAAATATGGAGTCAAAATCGGTTTGCCATGCTAAATGTAACACAGAAACTTTTGCAGTTATTCCATGTGCCCCGCTTTAACGCTACTCGCGTTGCTATGCTGCCCTGTCAACCCTCACGCATAAGGCGTGATTGTCACGCATTTGCTGGAAAAATAGAAATCACGCACCAATTTATCGTGTATGATCAAATATCACGCAAATCACGCATTTTGTTGATATTTTTAAAAATCTTTTTTTGTGAAATGCCGACACGGTAAAAATACCTAACGGCGAAAAAAGCGCACGCATTCTGTTTGGTCTTTGCATGCGATTGCCGTTTATGTCACGCATTTGGTACAAAATATGTGTACATATTATGCATTTGTTTCGAAAATATTTACCCCTCATAAGTTTTGACATTATTAGACTCCAGATTTTCAATCTGGAGTCTATTGCTTTTGCCAGTTTTCTTATTATTAGACCCCAGATGTCAATCTGGAGTCTATTGTTTTTGCCAGTATTCTTCATCTTATTCTTATTAGACTCCAGATTCAAAATGTGGATACTATTGCTTTTGCAAATTTTCTTCTTCTTCTTCTTGCCCCCACGTTTTCTTGTCAACTAGAAGAGCTTACTTTAAGCAGCCTACATGGTTAACTAGGTTATGTGTCTGGGCTGTCCGGAAATTGGGTCAAATTTTCATCTAGGTCAAAGGTCAAGAACTAGGTCAAATCTTGTGTTTTCACTATTTTGCCAGTTTTCTCAGTCGTCCTTCAGTATTTTTTTTTTTCATCATGTTCCTTTGAAAAAACACTAATTCTGAAAGGCAAATCGTTTTTTTGAATACTCTTACTGATTTTAAGATATGGCATCCGAAAAGTAGGTCAGAACAGAAAGTTCTCCAAATTCAACATAAGAATTATGAAATAAGTGTAGAATTTTCTCAGGAATCTGAATCTGCGAACCAAATTTCCACCTGACTTCTGGTTTGGAAGTTATGGCGTTTTGAAAGCTCAAAAATCGCTAAATTTGTGCCCTATGTTAAGTCAATGGAAAAAACAATTTTTTTGAAGTGTAATATACGAGATGTAGACTGAGTACATCTTAATATAATGATAGCCTTTAAAAGAAGGGGACCTCAAAAGCCAACTAGCTTCAAAATCTGGACAGCAAAATAGCTAGGTCAAAATCTAGGTCAAATTCATAGTTTTTCCTTATTTTTGTGATTCTGACACTACATTTTAATGATTTGCTTCCAAATTTTGTATACAGGTAGCAAAGAGTATGCTAATAGTGTTAGCCTTTTGCCGTCGTTTCGAAAGCTCAAAAATCGCTAAATTTGGTGCCCCATGTTATGTCAATGAGAAAAAAGATTTTTTTGAAGTGTAAAATACCAGACATAGACTGAGTACAGCTTAACATTCTAAAAGCCTATAAAAGAAGGGGACCTCGAAGGCTATCTAGCTTTAAAATTTGAACACCAAAATGCCTAGGTCAAAATCTAGGTCAAATTCAAAGTTTTTCCTTATTTTTGCGATTCTGACATTACACTTAAATGATTAGCTTCGAAATTTTGTATACAGGTAGCGAAGAGTGTGCTAATTGTGCTAGCCTTTGCCGTCAGAAAGTATTTTGACCCACTTTTGAGATATTTGTGTCCGAAAAGTAGGTCAAAATAAAAAGTTCTCCAAATTTAACGTATGAGTTATGAATTAAGGGTAGAATTTTCTCAGGAATCCGAATCTTTAAACCAAATCCAACTTTTGGTTTGATAGTTATGGCAGTTTGAAGTCTTGAAAAGTCGATATGATGATATCCCCATGTTAAGCCAATGGAGTCGAAGATAACATTCTTAAGAGTTGTCTAAATGTCTATATTCTAGCTGACTCAGCTTATTCTGGATGACTCAGCATACAAGTATTCTGGATGACTCAGCTTAAAAAAAGTTTGAAATCTGGAGTCAAATTGAACTTGTTCAATTTATATGTCTAGTTATTCTTATTTTTCTTTAAGAGTCTTTTTCAATAACTATAAGGTATCCAGTAAAGACCATAATACAGTATATTTAGGTTCAGTATCTAGTTGGTGGGAAATTGGGTCAAATTTTTATCTAGGTCAAAGGTCAGGAACTGGGTCAAATCCAGTACTTTGTCACTTTTTTCGATTTTCTCAGTCGTCCTTCAATATTTTCGATCCGGGTTTTTTTCATTGTGTTCCTTATAAAAAAGTAGGAAAGCCAGGGTCGATTTAGTTTTTTGATATCTCAAACCGATTTCGAGATATCAGTGTTTGAAAACAAGGTCCGAAAAAAAATTTCTCAGGATTCCGAATCTGAATACCGAATTGAAATCCGACTTCCGGTTCAAGAGTTATGACGTTTTGAAAGTTCGAGAAAAATCGATCTGATGGTACCCTTATAGAAAGTCAAGAAAAGTGAAGAAAATGTTGTAAAATCCATCCATCCTCCCACCCATCCTTCCTATCTTATCCTTCCTATCTATCTATCCTTCCTATCTATCTATCCTTCTTTCATATCTTTTCCTTCCTATCCTATCCTTCCTATTCTATCCTATCCTTCTTTCCTACTCTATCTTATCGTTCCTTCCTATTCTATCCTATCCTTTCTATCTAGATGATCTTATTCTGGATGACTCCCTTCGTTCCTATCATTTCCTTCCCATCTTTTCCTTCCTATCCTTCCTTCCTATTCTATCCTCCTTTCCTATTCTATCCTATCGTTCCTTCCTATTCTATGCTATCCTTTCTATCTAGATGATCTTATTCTGGATGACTCTCCCTTCAGTTTAGTCAAAATATTTCAGTTTAGTCAATAGAAATAGAAAAGGTAAAAAAAGAAAAAGAAAAAGGGAGTCATTTGAAAGGAGAGTTTGCAATTATGGGTATTCAGGTTCGATGTGTCTAATCTCTATAACAATCATCTGTTAGTCAATGATGCAGTTTAACCCCTGGTTGGCCAATGTACCCCCCTAGGATGTCACCCTGCACCACTAACTA